AGCTATATTTCCTTGCACAATGTGTGTATTCAGGATATGATTTTACAACTGGTTAAAAGTTTTATTCCAAGAATGAGTTATTTAATGTGTCCATTGGTATAGTGTTTAAATAATCTAAGATAATTAGCCATTAAACCTACTGTGTTGTTTTAGTTAATCTTCTCTATTTTACTTTTCTGGGTCTAATATCCATTGCAATGGGTACACCAAACTCACAGAACTCCTGTTCAAAGAATTTATTAAAGAAGTTAACAAGTTGTAATGCCAGAAATGCTCAGGATAGGTGTTTATCAGGACCTGTTAAGAAGTTCTTTCAGGTCTGCTAATAAATACCCAATGGGGCATTACCACTCTGCTGGAAACCTCAGCCCAAAGGAATTCATCTCAAGTTCTGTGGGTCAGCAAACCCAGCTCTCTAAATTAAGTACCCAGAGGCGGCACCCCATTCACAAGCTAGCACAAAAGCGCACAGCTTTACTTTCTCATTGGGTTGGGAAGTCCACCACGCTGTTTCATGCTCTGATCCTGGTTCTGCTATTGCTCCTCTGATGCTGTAACTGGCTTCTGCAGCCAGGGGGTTCACTGTGCAGGGATCTGGAGTCCAGAGGACATGCCCCGTTCTTGGCTCTTGTTGACAAAGAAATCCCTACTCCTGCTCTTGAGAGGGCTCATTTTATACTTAACTAAATGGCATTTCTAGGGACTCCTGTTCACAATTACTCACAGGTGAATCCTATCAGTATCTTTTCCCACCTTTTTACTAGACCCAGACAGGAAAAGGTCATTGATTTGGGCATAGAGACTTAAGCTAGAAGAGCCACGTTAAATAATTTACTGCCCCTGCCTGCACTTGTTAACATTTTACACACACACACACACACACACACACACACACACACACACACACACAGTATAGCAATTAGGAAAAATCTAACTTAAAATAACAAACAATATATTAATGCTTTGAAGTTAGACTGACATCCTGGTTTTCCTGAAACATGGAGATGATTAATTTGATTTATTATGTTGGAAAATTTTATCAAATGGAAAGTAATAAAACAAATGAAACAGTTAAGTACAAATGACCAACAATTATGTGAAATGATAATCTTTAATAATAATCAATATAAATCAATAAGAAACTTTTATTAACGCAAAGATTAGATGATAATAATAATAATAATAATGAGTGTTATCTAAGGTTTGGAAAAAGAAGCCCTCTGATAAAGTATTGATAAAATTGTGAAAGTGTCACCTTTTTGGATGATGATTTTGCAATATATGTCAAAATTCAATGTGTATATACCTTTGACTTAGAGGTTGAACTTGTTAGGACTTGAGTCTACAAATATACACAAACATGTATAAGGATAAAATGATATGTTTCTTAGGTTTGAGTTCTGGCAGTGCCAAGTAGATATGGCATCTCTTTTTATATCCACACTGTGTTTTATTTGTGTTTTAAACAGAGTAAGATAGGATTATGTAGATTTACTTATATGAAAAAAAAATACGATAAAGAGCAAAAGCAGGCCACAGAGTCATATTTCCGGAGTAACTGTTAAAAAGTAATATGAGGGGGTAGCCCCACTACTCCAAGCCACCCCCACCCCAAACTGGATTTTTCTTCCTACATGTGCATCAAGCAACTTGCTCTGAGTTAGT